TTGCTGTGTGCTCAGGGGGCGATTGCAGTGCTCTGGACATGACTTCTGGGGACTCTCTTGCCACCGCTAGACTTGCAAGCGCTGGGGTACTCTGGTTGTGAGGTGCTTCTGAACCCTGTATTTGCTGCTATTGATGGGGGCAGAGAGTTTTTGCTGCTCCAGGTGCTGGGAACACCTGAGAAATTAAGTTTCGTGATATGGGGATCTGCTACGAAGGTTAAACAAAATCTGAATTAAAGCAAACTAAACACCGAAGTTGGGAAGAAGGTGGCTGCATGCATCTTCCAGGATCTTATTTGCATGTTTTCACTGGTGAAGGTTGTACGGCAGAGCTGAGCATTTTACTAAGTTTTTCCCAGTTAATAACTGGGCAGAGTGTTACTTCCATTTGGTATCCAGATGGTATCATGGTATATTGTGGATGACACTGAGAAAATTGCCACCTTCTTCTAGAAATTGCTTGTGTGAAGTATATAAAAAATGTCACCTAGTTCTGCAGCATGAAAAATAAGGAAAATGTGATGGAAAATGACACCGAACCTAGAGCTCTGTGGGAATTGCTCAGATGCCAGCCCAGCCATGAGGCAATGCTGTCACGCTGACGAACACAACGGTTATTACCTTTCCAGGTAGTGATCTGCAAGCGCATTACCATGCTGTGCCCTCACAGCACGTGTAATTTGGAGGTATTATTAGATTCATTTTACAAGCGAGTGAACTGAGGCATAGAAGTGTTAAAAACCTATAGCGAAGCTCATAAAATTCATACCGTAAGCAGGCTTGTTAGCGAGGAGGCATGTGGCTTGTGTCGGGCTGCCACTCGTTCCCTACTCCGGGAATGAGCGCATGACTTGCTTTTGAACCAGCTCCTGTATTCCAACACACTCACAAGCTTCACTGAAAATTGACTCTGGGTTGCACAGAACTTGAAAGGAGCAGGTGTCGTTCCTCATCTGACACTCGCTTTAGGTGAAGTACTGCCATGAATTTTAAAGGACCTTGACTTCAAGGGGCTTTGGATCATGTCCTCTGTGAGGCTTGTGTTCTACAGCAGGACCAAAAGTCTGCACGTACAGCTCAGCTGGGCAGGTCTTTATACGCAACACCAAATCGAGGGCAAAAACATCCCCTTTCATTGTGTCTTCCTTTATTATGTCAAACCCAGCTCTTGATCTCTGATTTTACTTTCATTGTAATCATATGTAAGTGAAAAACATTGATCACCTTTGCTGTCCTTTCCCAGCTGAAGGTTCTGGAAGATCCAAGTCATAATGAAGTCAATATTTGCACAGCAAAACTCTCCCCCTACTTTTTCTCCCTAGTGGTAAGTTCCCAACCGTTGCTTCCATTAAAGGTCCACATGCAGGAAGACACCCCCCTACCATCGTCTATCCTTTCAATTTCTCTCTTATTTAATTTTTTTTTTTTTAGGTTTTCAGATGATTACTTCCAAAAACGCACTTGCACGCTCTTTAAGACCATACTGCTAGTATACATTTATCAAACAGTCTCAGCTTCCCACAGGAGCTAGCCCCTTAACAGTTGTCTTGTATCTTTAGTCTTATTAAGTCACTAAGTGGAAAAAGAAAGATAAATGCAGCATCAGGCCATGGATTTTGCCCCTAATGAAGGGTTAGGCATGTATTTTCCATGGCAGTCTGTAGAGAGTCATCTGAGTCTCTAAGGACGTTTCATGTTGTCTTCATAATGGATTCTGTCTTTGTTCAGTTTTCTGACTGTTCCTCAAACTTTTATTTGGCGAAAGGGTTTATTAATGTGAACCCTTAAGCCATGTTGTGAAGAATTCCTGCCCCGTGGGATTGTCTCAAGCCTCAACTTTTGCGTCCTTTGGTGACGGAGGTTGCTGCCACAGAAGGCTCTCTAGGAGACAAGGACCTTGAGAAAAAAATCTGGCATCAGCAACTGTGTTGTGACCTTTTCACCCTTGGAGTGCCTGACTGTTGCTCTGCTTTATTAATCCGAACGCTTCCCAAAGGGGGAATGTGGAAGGTGGGAGCAAGAGCATGAGGATTATTCTTCAGTGTTATAGCCTAGGTTGGGTGTGATGCGAAGGTGAAGAGGAACACGAGAGGCAATTGCTGAAAGCGTAAGAGACGGGTAAGTGAAATTTCTGGGGAATTTGTGACGATCAGGGGAAAAAAATTGATCAAAAGGAAGAAATAGCTAGAAACCTTAACTCCAAAAGATAAATTACTTCAGATGAAGCAAGGTTTTTGGACGCGATCAGTGTTTTACGTTATGCAACGCGTAATATAATTTGCAACAAAAGCAATGTTGAAACGCAGAATTAAAAGTCTCCAATTTTCCATATTCTAGGTTGTTGGGGTTTTTTTTAAGGCAAAAATACAGTTTCTGCAGGGTACAGCTTGAGAAAGATGACTTGTGGCACCAGTACTCCAGTGGCATATGTTTTTCAGGTGGTTATTCCCCAGTGTCTTCCTATCCCTCCCCTTCATGTCTATAGAAGGCTCAGGGATTCCTTCCAGGCCTTTTTAAAATTAAACTGTTTTTCAGAATCATGGGCTAACAGATGGAGGAGAGTTGTTGTCAGCAGCAAGCCAAAGTAAATAGAGCTGCAAAGAGTTTTCAGCAATAACTATGCCCAATTATGCAATTCAGTCATCTTTCAATTGAGCTTTGGGGGATCGCAAAGATCTACAGATGTACCTGACCAATCTTCCTGTGCTCTTGTCGGGTGCTACCGTCAGTTCATCTTCTAACTTCATAGAGAGCTTCATCTACTTGAAAAATATGGGCTTTGGAGAAAATAAGAGACCCTAACCTGTGGGCACCTGCAGAAGAGCTGGCTCACTGGTGGAATCTGTGGGGTCTCAGTGCCCCCGGATGCCTGAAGTGCTCTTTGTGTCGAGGTGGGTGATGACCCGTTTGTAACACTGACAGCTGGAGGCAGCAGGACATGCTTTAGGCCATCTTGTTCCCAGGATCAAGCAGCTTCTGAGCTGGTTACCTGGGGGTCATGGGCACAGAGAAAGGATTTCTCCTTGTACTGAACCAATTTTCATAGACGCAACGTTGCTGGGCATTTCTTCCCCATTCCGGGAAAGCCTTGCATAAAAGGGTGTTGGTAAAACCTGACACATTGTCTTTAATTTTGTAGTTTCCAAATTTCTGGAGCTGAATGGAGGGGCAAATGTCACATGGAGCTGAAAAAGATGTGAAATAGAAATTCCTCAAAGTTAGCGAGAAAATCCAGAGACTTGATCTGGGTTCTGCTTTAGTCTCCCAGTTAATATGCTCTTGCTGCCTGCTCAGTAATTTGTCGGGAACTGGGAAGAAGAATCCAGACTTGGCAGGCTGGTGCTGCAGACAGATTTTGTCAGATGAAATCCCAGTAGACATTAGTCCAACATCAACAGCTCCTGAGCTATCACATGGGAATGCACAAGGAGATAAAACGAACATCCTAAAGGGTGGATCCTCTATTTTAAGGGACAGAGAAGGGAATCTGGCTAATGTAATTTTTCTTTTTTTCTTTTCTTTGTGGAGTCTTTCAGAGAAATGATGGAAAATGCTGGTTCCAAACACAGATAAAATCCTGTCTTTCTTTGAATTCTTCACTTCGTTTAAAGTTGCCTAACTCCTCTCTCTTGTTTTTTCCTACATGTGAAGAGAGGTTAATCCTATCTGCCTTTACCTCAGAGGGATTGTGAGGGCAGAGTTTGGAAAAGAATTTGCCATCTATGCAAAGAATCCATGTGACTGCAGGGGAAAAAAAAACCCAGACCTACCGTTGGGAAACTCCCGCACCAGTCATCTACTTTCTGGAAGTGGAGTGTCCTGTTACATAAACATCCTTGAAGCTTTGCAGAAGGGGTGACATTCACATCACATATGTGGGGCCTGACTAATTGGGCTTTGTGTGTGAAGAATGGGGATGGAGAGGATAAGGAAGTGAAATCCCCAAGGTGCAAGCGGGGCCTCCTTCTTCCCATGGCCTGTACTGTTGCTTACGTGTTGAAAAAGGGTCTCGGAGCCTCCTGTACCACTGAGCTGATGACTGGGAACTCTGTGGGCCCCGCAACCCAGCCTGCATCCTATCTCTGCCCCCTCCAGCAGTCTGAGAGGCATCCCACTCGGTCCAGCTGCAACAGGCTCCAGCCTTCACTCAGAGAGCGTCCCTCTGCCCGGATTTTGTTTGTGTCCTTTCATACCAAAACCTGCCTTACCTCGGTGGTCGTGGTCTGTGTATAAACGGCATGCAGACCACCTAACTCTTGGCAGCTTCTACAAACAGTGGCAGAAGGGGGCTGCTAACTTCAGGAGCTCCAAGCTGCCCCTTGGACCAGTCTGTACCTTTCCACTGGTTATGTGGGGAACCAAAATCCCATAGTTCCTGTTTTGATGGGCCAGAGTTAGGTGGCATCAGCACCCGTCCAGCCAAAACTCACTGGAGACCCAGGGCCCAGTTCTCCACCACCCCACACCTTGTGGCAAAGGGGAGCTGCAGCCTGAGTTGGAAGTCACTGCTTTGTTTTGCACATGCTTTGTAAAGCTTTGTCGCTAGTCCCAGGCAAAGAAAATTCCCCATCTCTTCAGGGAAAGCTACACAGAGCAGGCATGTAGATGACTTGATAGCATCTGCTATAAAGTTCACAGGTATGTTTTCCTGTATTTTACGGCAGATACTGGATAATGGTTTGCAGGTTTACCCTTCTGCACAGCAGCTCTCAGGGTAACAGGTCAGGTTTAGCAATTGGGGTGGCAGTGAAAGGAACAGAATCACAAACTGAAAGAGCCAGTGCTGAACTGGTTAGGAAAGAGTAAAATCTGAATTCCCAACTCTTTTTCTTTTCACAGCTGTTAAGGGTTCAGTGGGTTGAACTGCAATCCTTCAAGTTCATCTGTTGACTCCAACACAAAACTATTATAAACTGTGCCTCTAAAACACGTGATGAAACATTTCTTGAGAGCTATTTATTCCAACTGCAGCAGAGGAAAGTTTTCAGAAGACCCGGCATTTGGTAGAGGAAAGGTCTCTTGAGCTTTGCGAAAGGAGGAATTATTTGCATACCGACGTAAGTTGCCTTTTGATTTTTTTATCCCCCTGCACCGTTGAATAAAATAATACTTCCAACCTTTTCCCCCCTCTATGAAAATGTGGTCAAGTAGCACAAAACTATGTTTAAGTGCCTAGCAGAGTGTTTCTATGTAGTTTTCTTTCTTTAATCTTGTGGGTTGGGGGTTTTATGACTCAGCCTAGAATTCAGCATGATTTAATATTACGTATTTTCTTTCCTCTAATGTTTTCTGTGTCTGAATAACAGTTCATTCAGTTATGATATTAATGCTGAAGTATGATAGACTGCAAGCTTCAATCAAGTGTGTCCTAGAAGCTTACAAATGACAAGTAGCAAGGAATAGCTTGGGGGTATCTTTTTTTCAGATGTTTCTTTTACATCGTTGATCTGAAGTTCGATCTCACGTATGCACACCCATTCTCCTCCAGGCTTTAGCTGTGGTGAGTCACTTTCCATGCTGAAAATGGACCATGCAAACATGACCCAAGCCATGCTTGATGCTGCATCCCGCAACACGGAGAAGAGCAACAGCAATGAGTATTTTTACATTCTGATCGTCATGTCTTTCTACGGGATCTTCCTGATCGGGATAATGCTGGGATACATGAAATCCAAAAGAAAAGACAAGTCATCCAATTTGCTTCTGCTCTACAAAGATGAGGAGAGAGAATGGGGGGAAGCTGTGAAGTCTCTACCGACGGTATCGGGGCTGAAATCTGTCCAGATCCCCATGATGCTGAACATGCTGCAGGAGAGCATGGTGCCCTCCCTGTCCTGCGCCATCTGCTCGATGGAAGGCAGCAGCGTGAGCTCCGAATCCTCCTCCCCAGACGTGCACTTCACCATCCAGGAGGAAGTGCTGGATACTGAACTGGGGGAAGTGTCAGAAACGCTCCTCAACGAGAGCAGCGAGGGATCTGCGGAAAACATCCACAAGAACTCCTAGCACTTGCAGGAGTTCAGCACCTGGTCGGCTGCCAAAGCATGAGTGGAGCTCCCACTAAGAACTTGTGGTTCTACTTTCCTGCTCTCCAATGAACTCTCCACAGGTATCTGTGCCCCTGGGCCCGAGCTGTTCCTGAGAGCTGTCAGGACAAGGAAGCAGTGGTACCCAACACCAAAGTGTGACTTGCACGTAATTGGGATGCTGAATTTTAATTTTTCCATTATTATTTCTTACCATAAGAGCTAAGAACAAGGAGAATATATATATTTTCTAACAAGGTAACTATTACTGGCATGTCTCTGCATATTTCAGAATACTGCAAATATCTGGGAAATGTTGAGGGAGTTACCCTAACGCAAGTGCCTGGCTGTTACAGACGGTGGGTAACGCTCATTCACGCAAAACTGTGATAGACTAGAAGTACTTTTACTGTGTTTTTTCCACAGCCAACAGTAGATTTTCTCAATAAGGCCCCACAAGCTGAAAATTTGTCAACGTGTAGTTGAAGGGAGAGTGCAGCATGGCTGGAGACTGATTTTAGGCACAGAAAGAATGGAAGGTGGGGCGGGGGGGAGGCACTGAATTTCGAGGAGGTGTGTAAAGCCCAGTTTCAGATCTGTGCCACTATATCTATACTTGCTTCAGTTGTGCCTGTACTGGCTGGGTCAGGTTCATTACCTTCTGCTGCAATCCAGCCTTTGACTGCCTCACTAGTAGGAAAAGTGGTTTTGTTTTTTGCTTTTGTATTTTTTTAAAAGACATGTACATTTGATGACTAAAGGCAAAGATCTGTAAGTTGAAAAAAGACATTGAAAGATCTTTGTTACAAGGTGTAAGACGTTGAAAGGCTTGAACAAATGCTGCTCTGTTACGCCCCCTTGAAAAATAGGTGGAATTCAGAATAGAATTTAACCTAGCAAGGGTGAAATCCTGGCCCCACTGAAGCCATCAGCATGTCTTCCTGACTTCAGAGGACATGCACAGGATTTTGTGCTTCTCTGTTGGAGTCAAACTCTCCTTTTGAGGTCAGTAAAACTGTGCCCATTTACATCATTAAAGAATCTGGCCTTTCTGCTCTATTTAAGCCAGTGTAGATAAATATTGCCTTACCTCCTTTTTTTTAGTCAGCTCACATGTGACCCATGCATTTCTATAATGGTTTTAGTAACTAGTTTTTAAAGCCACCACAAACTTCCCCTATTAATTTAATGGTACTGTGATTTTTTTTCAAATGCTCATGAATTTAGTTACTAAATTATTGCACTGTTCAAAGAAGTAATGTTAATATTGTAGCAATGTATGATTATTTCAATCGTACCTTATATTTTATAGTAACTTATTACCATGTTTGGATAAGTTTGTGAGGGCTAAAGAGCCTGAATCTAAAGCATTGCACAGCACAGTGTTTGCAAAATGTCTCCGCATATTTCCTGTGCTAAAATAGCTCTGTGATTTATCCACTGGCATTAGAGCTTGAGAGACAGCTTGAAAAACATGAACGCTGAACAGCAGAAGGGAACTGGGGCGAGATCGGCTGTACGCCTGCTGTTGGGAAGGGAGAGCTCTGGTTTCGGCTTGGAGGGTTGATGCGATGTGATGCAGCCCGCAGAGGTATCGCCGTCCCTCCCCAAACACAAAGGCTCCATTGTGCTCAGAAAGGGCCTGATCCAGGTCCGACTGACGGCAGTGGGAGTTTTTCCATCGGCTTCAGTGAACTTTGGATCAGACCATATAAAGCTTTTTGGTAGATTTACTCCAAAAGGGGCTGTTTTAAGTTTGAAAGAAGCCAAATTAAGTTTGGCACTTTGCCTGGAATCACTTGAATCCTGAAACTTTCCAAATGAAACTGACATGCGTGAGTTGTCACATTTTCCATTGCTTTCTCCTTCGTCCTTTTACTTCTGGTATAAATGTGTTTTTATCTGTAAAAAACTGATGTATATAATTCCTAACATTGAGTTGTATATAATTGTCTCATGTATTTAAGTTTATTGTTTCTACTGGCACTAATTTTTATTTAAATAAAGAAACACTTTTCCTGGAAAAGTTTCCATGATAGTTCACTGCGGCAAATAGATTTCCAGAAATGGGACTGTGCAAAATTTCGACAGGATCCTTTTGTTTGCCTCTTTTTGAAAGGATTCCTTGGGTTTGACAGTACTGCAGCATCGCGGGGTGACTGCAGGGCTAAGGCAGGCGCTCCACGTCTGTCCTGGGTCCGTACCACCTCTTCAGGGCGTTGGGAAACTTCCCCGCCCGCAGCTCCTGCCCATGCGCGTTGTGGCAGATGGGGTGGGCTAGGGTTGAGGTTATGGACACGTAGCTGACACAGGCCTCTCTTCCCACTGGATTTCCAGTGCTCAGCCATGGTACAGGGCTGGCTTGGTCACAAGCATTGCCCCTGGGTCTCACTGCTGCCCTGTCTTTTCCAGCATTAGGGATAGGGGATGCGTCAGGATTCGGCCTCCCCATGCAGGGCAGAAGTGTTTAGAGGCAACATTGCACTTCCATATCTCCTTCAAGCTGTGATGGTATGTACAGGGTCACAGGCACTGGCTGAATCCCGCTCGCATGGAGTAATGGGAAGTTGTTTCAAAAATCAGGTTTCTATAAAATGACATCTGCCCGCTTTCCCACCAAACCTGTGTCCCTGTGCTCTGCTCTCTTCACTCACTCCCTATTAAATAATTCTGGGGCCTGTTCACAAGCTTCTGTGGACCTAAAGCTACCCATCAGCAAGGCTGCATTTCCCTCCGGCGATGTAATCTCCCGGGACACCCACAGTGTCCTGGAATAGCGGGTCAGTAATGTTGCATCTCCCACGTTTACCCGTGCCGCTGTCTCCGTGTCTCAGTGTTTCCATTGCCCCAGTAATGAATCAGGAGGCTTCTGACAGCCCTGGTGATAAGAAGGAAAAACAGAACAAAATGTAAATTACAGCTCTGCTTTGTGGATCAAAAAACTAAGCTTATTCCAGTGGTTTCTTGCATTAAATTGAGCTGCTATAAAGGGAAATGTTGGGTGATTTGGGGTCTATTTACACTGAAGCGAGCTAGTAAGCACAAAAATGTGGCCACTTTCTTGCAGACTGTCACGGAGCTATCCTCAGCCCGTGGGGTTTGGGAAAGTATGTGTGATAGTTTGGTATGTATTTGTCTTTGTCCAAATTAGTATTTTGATGGTACCAGGGGAAAAAAAAAAAAAAGAACCAAAAATACATTTTAGCAGTAGAACTTAATTAGGTGTGCAGCTGAATGCGATGATGCTTTGAAGACAGCCTGGTGACCCAAGACTGCCAGGTAGCTATTGTTCCAAAATAAAAGAAATGCTGTTAACCTTGAAAAGCTACAGATGGAAGGAATAAAATTGCCCTCATCAAGCTTGTTTCAAAATTCTTTTGACTAGTAATGAAAAAGCAGAAATACTTTTTTTTTTTTCCCAAAGATGACAGACATTTCCAGCGTGCTTCAGTAACTGAGTTAAAGCAAATTCACAACTAATAGATCTTGGCTTGAGGGCAATGAAAATTGATTGTAATTTGACTGAATGGAGATGATTTTATTTTTACAAATGTATTCTTTCTTAAAAGAAACAGCAATTAGGCTCCCATTTTTAGCAGTGCTATACCTCATACATTTGCTGTAAAAGTTAATGCTTGTGACCTTTGGCAGAACAGGAGAAAATGGCCTCATGTGGCATGTGTACACAGTCTGGCTCCAGGACCTACTGTAAACACAAGTGCCGACTCTAAAGATTATCACCTTGGGATCTGGGATAGCAGCTGGTTGATTACAACCCTAAATCCTACCAGTGGGTCACATGTAGGTGCACCTGTGACGTTGCTCATTCAACGGACCAAACCTGCTGAATAATTGAAGTGGAAATGCAGAATTTCTCTCTTTCCTGGGCACAGGATCTCACAGGCTTTCCCAGGACTCACGTGCTCTGGACCAGGGAAGGAGTTAACCAGGGAGGGAAGGTTAAGGAGTACGAAAGAATCCACTTTCCCAGGGCTAGAGTGCGGGTCACAGATTGTGGTAAGTAAGGCCAGGAGCCTCATGTGTCACAACTCTTGCAATAACTTCTCTCCTCTGCTTGGCCCTCTCACAGTGGGTTCCCCTGGATCTGTCCCTTTCTCAGACATGTGCCCACACCTACCCAAATAATCAAATCAATTCTCACAGGGTTGAAAAGGAAGGAAACGGACAAACTACAGCAAGTCATTTATATTTTGTAGTTCTTAGTGCATGATGTTGGACAAGGGTAGGTGTACTGCTCAAGACGAGGAGCACACAGGTCCCCAGTGTAGACTATAAGGCACTTTTATCACAGCCTTTTCAATCAAGAGAAGATTAAACTGCCTGCCTTTAATTTTATCTAAAAATTTCATGGCCTTGCAAAGACGGGAGGAGTGTCCGCCACATGACGGATGAACATTCTCAAGTGGGGTGCAGGACGGTACAGCTGGTGCACCAGATGCAATTGTGCCAAAGCTGGATCGCACTCTCCTGTGGATGTCGACCTTCCACGCTCACATTATAATATTTTGGACCTTGCTGTTCTAGTAAGAAAATTATTTCTCCCTGAGTTCACTGTTCCATTTTGGACTTAAATCATAAGGTTTGAATCTAAGAGGCCTAAAAATGAATAAAATTTTTTAGGCTATTGGTTTTTAAGCACTGATCATATTTGCCTCTGTGCGTTTGGCTGATTGGCTTTTGTATTCTTTCCATTTTCGCACGCCTCTGCAGTTCCTACTGCATGCGGCCAAAAATAGCTGCAAGATGAGCCACTGCCATAGTGTATTGACGCTTCTGTATCCATCTCAACTGGGGAAGAAAATGGAAAATAATACAAAATCAATGGGCACCAGAGTTTTTCAAAGCTTAATTTTGTTTTCATTTCCGTTTGGGTAGGGTTCCAGTTTATATCAGGCCAGGTTAGATTGAGGCTTTTGCCATCCAAGTAAGTGACTAGAAGAAAGATAATAAAGGCTATTGAGTGGTGCATTACAGGCTATGTCCCCATCTCCCTCCCTGGGTCATTTGTTTAACTGTCCTCTGCTTCTCTTGATAATCAGATGATGCCACTTATAATCTTCTGTGTAAATATATGATGTGTTCTTGGTTGGAACTAGGTGGTCTTTAAGGTCCCTTCTAACCCCAACCATCTATGATTCTTGATAGACA